TACTAAGTTTAAAAATCTCAGTGGGAGAAAGGAACTCTCACTTGATCTAAGGAAAATCCTTACCTTTAAACTGTGCTCAGTCAGCCTTTAAATCCTCTGGCTGAGTCCAAAGTGCACCTCATGGGGTTTAGAGGGTGGCGAGCACTTACCTGACAGCGTGGCCAGGGTTCGCTCAGCTGTTGCTCGGAGGGTCTCCCCCGGCTGCCACTCTGCCTGGGGCAGCACCCACACATCCTGGTCTCCAAACTTCTCTCTGACCAAGAGAACGAGGTTCTTGTCCAGCTTCCGGTGCAGTGAGGTCCGGTCGTTCTTCTCATCGGCTTCTGCGGAGAAATGGGGGTCAGAGGGGACGAGATCACGTGATCTGCCAGAACCAAGGAGATGAGAGCTTTACAGTCTTCCTTTAAGGTAGAGCCACATGCTTGCTCTCAACAAAACTGACAGAGTCCCTCTCCATCTGTGGTTGTGCTTTCTGCCGTTTCAGGGACCCGCAATCGGATCATAAATGGAAAATTCCAGAAATAAACTAGTCAAAAGCTTTACATTGCACCGCATTCTGAACAGCATGATGAAATGGGGTGCCATCTTGCTCCATCCCCCAGGGCTCTGAACCATCCCTTTTGTCCAGCGTCTCCAGGCTGTGTACACTCCTGGCCCGTCAGTCACTCAGCCATTCCAGTTATCAGATCAACTGTCACAGTGCTTGTGTTTAAATACCTTTATTTCACTTCATCATGACCCCAAAGTGCAAGAGTAGTAATGCTAGCCATTCAGATATGCCCAAGAGAAGCCATAAAGCACTTCCTATACGTGAAATGGTGAGTACAACACAATAAGGTATTTTGAGAAAGACACACCACATTCACAACTTCTATTACAGTATATTGCTATAATTATTCTATTGTATTACTAGCTGTTGTTAATCTCCTACTGTGCCTAATTTATAAATTAAATTTTACCATAGGTGTATATGTATAGGGAAAATCACAGTATATACAGGATTTGGTACTATCCAGTTTCAGGCACCCACTGGGGGATGGAGGGGGGTCCTGAAATGTATTCCCTGAGGATAAGGGGGGATTACTCTAATTAAATTACAACCCTGACCCATCTCTCTAACTCTGGCCTCGTCCAAGGTAAAACCTCACAATCTTGAGGAAACTAAAATATAAGAAGAGGAACTCAAAAGCTGAACTTCTCCTTTGTTTTGACAAGCAAACCATGAAGTACTTTCAGCCTCTGAAAGAGAGGCAATGCCCACACTAATTCAGAACCCGCACCTTCCCTGGTGTTGACACTGTTTCTGACGTGACCAGCCCCCCTTTCTCCCTGACATTCCTCTGTGAAACAGGATAGGACTCACCCTGTGCTTTAGGGGGGCTTTCAGATAAAGCGCCAGGAGCTAGTGGAAAAGGCTCAATTTCCCCCCCTCTCAGTCCAAACTAGGAGATAAATTCAGAAACACTTCTAAAGTTTAACTGAGAAAGAAGGCTATCCCAACCTCCTTATCTCCTATTCAAAAATACTATAGGCCTTAAATTATATTAGGGGCAGATGTGAGGAACGGGGGAAAATTATTTTCCTCCCACCTGAAAGACGGATGATTTGTCATCTGTAATTATTTGTTACTTAAAACACTGAGCAGGGTTAAGCGACTGTCTTTCGTTTGGGAACCAGAATACTCTCCTCCTCCCCCTCTTTCCCTTTTCTCCTGAAAAAGACCACAAACCTGTTATGCGAGCTCCCGGTTTGAACTGTAGGAATTTCTGCTCCCAAATTTCTTCCAAGTCCTGGACCAGCAATATATTCTGTTCATCTTCATCGTCATCGAGGTCAGCTTTCCTCTTTGCCAGGCGCTGGGCTTCATCCAAAGCACGGAGCTCGTGGTCTGAATACCGGCTTCTCTCGATCTCGATCTGGGGAAATTAAGAGGCAGAATAAAACAGAGCTACAGCACACCTGACAGACTCAGAAGTTTACCACCCAACACAACCAGACATACAATCAGACCACCACAGGGGAAAAAACAACAGAGAAAGAAAAAGGTCACCTGCACCTGCACTGTGGGCTTGAGTTACATTTGCTAAAATGTGAGAATGTGATTGGAGGTCGAGAGGGTGAACAGCCCGGCCAGTGTGGCTCAGTGGTTGAGTGTCGACCTATGAACCAGGAGGTCACGGTTCGATTCCCGGTCAGGGCACAGGCCCGGGTTGTGGGCTGGATCCCCAGTGTGGGGCGTGCAGGAGGCAGCCGATCCATGGTTCTCTCTCATCATTGATGCTCCTATCTCTCTCTCTCCCTCTCCCTTCCTCTCTGAATCAGTAATACAGTTTAAAAAAAAAAAGATGGCAAGTAACAGAGGCCACGCTGCAGTCATGTCAGTCTTGATGGGAACCTCACTCACCAAGGACTTTTGATGTTTCTCTTGAAGTTATCGTGTTTTCTTTGATTACAAAATCCGCATTGTTAACCGGTTGAGTCAATCTGCACTATTAACGTGTTAACACTTAACCCGCACTATTAGCCGGTACACCGAGCACACAGCCTGTGACTGACTACCTGGCTCCTGCCCACCCCCCACCAGCATGAGCGCGGGGCATTTCAGCAGCACGGTGTCTGTGAAGTGTCTGTGCACGGTGTCTGTGCACCATGTCTGTCTGTGCACGGTATCTGTGCAGTGTCTGTGCGCAGTGAGTGTCTGTGCAGTGTCAGTGTCTGTGTCTGTGCGCAGTGTCTGTGTCTGTGCACCGTGTCTGTCCGTGCACGGTGTCTGTGCACAGCGAGGGCTCAGGGCTCGTCTGTGACTCACGAACACCTGGGAGGGCAGGCGCACACCGAGTACAGGCTCTGAACCGGAGCTTTAGCTTCCAGCAGCGAAGACAGGGAACATCTCCGGTTCTGGAGACACAGGTCGCCCCTCGGTCGCCATCTGCGGGCGCTGAGACCCTCGCCGCTGCCACCCCGTTCTTGCCCCTCCCCTCCCCGGCCTCTCACACTCGCAGCCCCGGAGGACCACGGC